TTGTTGTAGTTTTAGGTTTAAAGTCTATAGAACGACTAAGGTTAATATTGCGGGCCAAACAAAAATAAAAACAAAATTATTCACGTGATTCTCAATGCTTCAGACAGACTGGAGACAGAAGCTGACTAAGCGCATTTGACCCAATTAAAAAGAGTTAGTCAAAGTGACAATTGTATAGGAGAAAATATGTGAAATTGGAGTATGAAGAGAGAATGCACCTTTAAAATGTATAATCGATGAACTAAAAAATTAGAATTTTAGCTTTAAAAAGGAGGCCAAGCCTTAAGAATACAAAAATCTGAGCGGCATAAAAAAAGATAAGAAATTTAATGCAGATAGCAAAAAAGACAATAACTAAATGTGGCCAATTACATTTATCTTATCAAGATAGCAAACAAAAAAAATAAATCTAAAATATTTATAATGTATTAAGAACAGACTTCAATCGGAGCTGAACTGTGCTTCAGCTAATTTGGATTATCAAAAGAATCATATGCCACGGAACGACGGACAGCACTTCCAGAAAATAAGTTAATAACCATGTAAATCCAGCTGCTATAACACGGACTAACTTTAGGTTTCGCATTTATGCGAAATACTGAGGAAAGACAACAGAAACAGTTACTTATCAGCGATCTAAGTATATTTATAAATATATACTATATAAAAGTGTCGGCATTAATATATAAATGACATAGGGGCAGACCGTTTCACAGCACTTGGCACATGCCTTATAGGGCAGCACAGAGGACAACAGCAAAACCTCTAGCAAAAGGGTCACAACTTTTACTTATTTTGTTTTTGATTTTTCGATTTTGTTTTACTTTTTTTTGTTCACCTTTTGAAAATTTGTTTGAGTTTTGGCAGACCAACAATGGAAATTGGTTTCAGTTTTGTCTGACGTATTCAGTGTATATGCAGTATATAGCCCGTATCGTTCAGTTGAAGCCAGTGCTGAACGCAATCATCTGATTGCAGCTGAGCAATAAAACGCGTCCGTCTCGCAAAAAGTCGCTGAAGTTACTGAAAAGCCAAAGTTTTGGCGAACTGACGAGAAGTCGACGAATAGGCGAGCTTTTCAAAAAAAGAGAGACCGAACAGAGATAGGGAGAGCGAGAGAGGCATAGTGAACGTACGAACCAAGCTTTGTAGCACAGTGTACCTCTCTCACTCTCTCTTTCCCTCTCTCTCTCTCTCTCTCTCTCTCTGCCCGTCTGTGTATGAAGCAACAATGTTTTTATTGAATAAACGACAACGCGAAAAACCGTAAAGTTATTTTGTATCTGTTTTTTTTATGTAGCTCGTAACACGGACGCGTTACTTTAATAATTTTTGCAAACAAAAGCGGAGCGCTGATCGTCTCTTTACTACTTTAAGAGGCCAAAGCCTCACTTTCCAGGCGCCCGACTTAAAAAGATTTACATATCCTAAAGAAATGAAAAAAGTAGAGCATTTGATTGCTTACACATTGAAACGTGAACTGAAGCTAAAATGCTTTAATTTCAGGGTAATTTAAAGCTAGTTGTAACCAATGGAAATAGAAATAACAGTAAATATACTATACAAACATTTAGGTAACATTCTCATGATTCGCAATCTACTTGAAAGTTTCTTTAAGTTCAACAGAATTAAAATTAAATTATTAAGTATTCAATGTTTATATTGTATTCGATTAGTTTTTACCATATTCTGCAATTGGAATTCTAATTTTCCAATTTTCATTTCCAATTTGAAGTGCAAGTCTAAAATTCTCATCATATTTTTTAGCATATTTAATCAGAAATTTAAAACACAAAGAGCATCTGCTATTCGTTGAACTGTCAGTTTCAGTTTCTAATTGAAAATACTTGAATGCGTGATTGATGATCGTACAGCTATTTCAATATACAGCAAAGGCTTTTCAAATTGCAAACGGAATTTGCATGAGAAATAGAAACAGATAGAAATAGAGCTGAAACAATTATTGTTAGGGTAACTTGTATTCGATCAACTTCAGATCGAAAGTAAGCCGATTTCAGTACACAGCAGCTTTGCTGAACGAACAAAACCTAATTATTAGGGTATCTGGCATTCCATCAATTTCGCACTTTTGTATCCAATGGAAAATGGGTGCGTGCACTGATTGATGATCGTGGCGCCTATATAATGGCTTTTCAGTCTGAAGCTAAATTACGTTTGGCTTTTTAGCACTTATCGCAGGCAACAGAGAGGCAAAACAAGAAAATAAGGGAATAAGTATATGAATGTCGTCTCGACATAGGGAGATTCGACAGGGTATAAATATGCAATCTGTTCGACAATTGGAAGTACTATAAATAAAAAGCTAAATAATGAATAAGTAAAGGTCAACGCTGTGTCATGTGCCGACACACACAGTGGATCAGATCGCGGATGTGCCCATCCATTAGAAGCTTACAGTCGCCAGCATTGACGATCCGATCTTAAGTCGAAGACAAATCGAGCTTTCAGCTTTGTGTCTGAGACATTTGTAGACACCGAGTATATTGGTTTGGACAAAAGCTTAGCAAAGTCTAGATGTAACTCCCCAAAACTGTTTTACTATTCGAACAATCTATAGACACAGACCGTACTTTGCTGTGCTATGAACAAGCATTAAACAGCTGCCTAGTCCCGCCTTACTTGTTCACTGTGGAGAGCGCACTTGTTTCCGATCGAGATCGAGATCAATAGAATGACATAAGCTCAGCCACGAGCGTTCAACTAGACAACAGCAAAACGCTAACGAGAAAGTGCACAAAAAATGGGAAGAGAGAGAGAGCACATATACTTGGGCTCTGGCTGTGTGTGAAATGCGCAGTTCACAAAATTGACAAAAATATATAATGTATATAGAAAGATCAGCAATTCATGTGTCATCTGATGCTGATGCTGATGCTGCTGCTCTACGCCTGACAGACGGCACGCAGAACACGAAATTCAATTATGAGTGAAACATTTTATAAAGATCCACAGCCCCACACACGGCGAAGAGAGAGAGTGGGGATGGCAGGGGCTGGGGTTGTTAGTTTGTGGGTGGTTAGATGCCCGGCTGTGGGTTTGGCATTGAGTGCTGAGAGATAAGTGACAGGTACAAGCAAGTGATTCACTTTTAAGTACTTAACAAATGCTCTTGACAAAGGGGTATATGCAGTCGAGCAACCAGACAGATAAGAGTCGGTCACAATGCATAAGTGGAATCAAGCTTACATCACATATTCAATAAGAATAAGTTCATATTTTACTGCTATCTAACTATACTATTACTTTAACATAATCTTTCGTATATGAATCATTTTCAAATACTTTGTAGAAGAGGTGTATGCAGTCGAATAATCAGCTGCAAAACTTATTTTTAGATAAAACCAGTTAATTATCTAGATTAAAGATTATGGAATTCAGTTGAGACTCAACTAGAATGAGTAGTATTTATCAGCGGGGTATCTCGTAGTTGGGCAGTTATAGCTGAGAGAGCAGAGCATAGGTAGCGAAGCTATATGTTTGTCCCAGGGTATCTGATAGTCGTGTACTGTATTTGCAATTAGAGAGCTTTTAAGTGTGAAACAAGAAACTGCCAAGTAGCTGCGGTTGCATCGATTCTGAATTTGATGCGCTTGTAATCAAAACCTGACGAGGATCGCGCAAAACAATCCATTAAAATAATATTAAAAACAACAAATAAGCATAAACAATGGGTATTACCTATATGGGCTACTGGGTCGCGATGTGAATGGCTGTGGTTTGGCACAATTACGTGAATGAAGTGTGTGTCGCAGACGCCTCCAACGCAGCCGTCCACGGCTCAATTAAATAGTAGCCGCGTTTCAGTTAATTGGCCATAAGACATAAAGATCTTTCGAAACAGAGTCAAGTATAATTTGTTTAATTGCGAGTGGGCGGCACTCTGCCTCTCTGTCTGACAGAGTAGTAAGCAACTCGATCGGGTCTATTGTTTGTTTATCTGTTTAATGCGTCATTTAGCGCGTTCCCTAATTGGCTAATTAACAAATCATTTGTTTACAAATCAAAGCAATTGCAAACATTTCATATTTGTGGTTGTCGTTAATTTGGTTGTTGTGAGCAGAAACAATGCTGGCAATAGAAGAAGCAATTGAAAACAGGCATTTGGGGTATAAATGTGTAAATGTATGTAACAGGCAGAAGAAGGCGTGGCAGACTCCAGAAAGTATATAAATTCTTGATGAGAGCACAAGGACTAGCTGCGTCATCAAGCAATCTATCTATGCATGTTTACTGATTGCTTTGCTCAAGGTATCTCATAGTCGGGAAGTCCACACTTAACACCTCTTACTTGATAGTTGCCAAGAGCCAAGAATCTAACTAATCTCTTAATGAGCCAAATCCAAATTTGAAACTAGAATATCGTATATCTCCATGCTGTAACATAAATATGTAAAAACAAAGCATTTTTAAAAATATATAAAGCTCTTAAAGAACGGATACTACCACTCTCGCAACCGAGTTATTGCACTTTGCACACAAAGTTTGTAAGCCTTTTTATAGTTCCTCACAATACAAGAAAATAATTGTCTGCATCCTTGTTAAATAACTTCATAAATTCTTATCATTATTTTACTTGATTTGGAAAAAGCTACTTTTAAGCTCAAAGTTAGTGAAAAGCTGGATTCAGCGGGAGTCTGCTCATGTTAGGGCAGATGTTGCCTCAATCTCGCCGTAAAAAAAGCTAGATTTAACGGAAATCAAGCCTATTTTTAGTTAGTTCAAAAAATTGCAATTTGTTGTTTTTTGTTGTGCATTTTTCACATTTATGGCGAAGGGCAGAGCCGTTTGCTGACCGTGTGGGTGCAGCCCATATATTATGATTAGATCAACTGTATTTATTGCCTATTAGAGTGGGTGTTCCAGAGCTGTTATTGGCAGAACCAGAATTACACGACTGGAAACAAGTTTTGAATGGGTATGAGAAGACTTACGAATATCAAGATATATGACTAAGTGGAAGGAAAAGCGTTTCAACTCACCTCTAGGAGGAGGTCCGGTTTTTGGAGTGGTATGTGTGCAACAGAGCCTGCCAATTTTCGATACGGAGCTAGTTGAGCCGTAATGGGAGGGCGGCTTGATTTTTGTGGGTATTCCGGTCACGGAGGATGCGGGCGTGGGTATATTAGATCGACTGGGTGGTTTTATTTTAGGAACTGTGACCGGCATTTCCATACCAGTACCCGTTCCTATACCCGTTCCCATTCCCGTTCCCGTTCCCGTACCCGTTCCCGTTCCCGTTCCCGTACCCGTTCCCGTATGCGAACCCATTTCCGTTTCCACTCCTTTACTCGTCTCTGTTTCCATTGATACAGCAGCAGTAGCTACTGCCGTTGCAGCTATATCCACATTTGTTTCATTTGCTGTTGATTCACTCATTTTACACTTTTTTTAAACTTAACTTTTTTTAAAACACACGCGTATTAAAAAATTTCTCGATATAAAAGCTGGCTATGAAAAACTGCCAATATTTTGTATAGAGGAAATAAGAAACTTGAATGCTGATCACTTACCTTTAAATAAATGATATATTAATTTTTCATAATCGTTTTGCGTTATTTCAACCACTATGCGCTCAACTGACGTTTTGGCGCGCATGCAAGCTATCTCGCTTGCACTTTCGACGGTTCGCGCTCGCACAGCCAACAGCTGATTGAGGCTGATTTTATTTCGGTTTATTTTCAACTTGGAAAACAAACAAAAATAATCGTGACTTTTCGGTTTTGTTGTTCTAGTTGATTTTAGTGTGACCACCCTTTCTCGTTTAATTTTTTTTTTTTTGAAAAAAGATGCGGAAATTGTGCTGCGAGCTTTGACACCTTGAATTAGTTATGCATAATTCTCACAGAGACGCACATCACGCACACAGAGGAACTGCCATAAACACGTATATTCACAGACACACTGACCACTTATATTATTTATTGAATGATCACACACGGACGTTCGCGGGGCATTAAGAGCATAAAACTATTTGTTGTTGTTGCCCCTTTTCCGATTGACACAGATATAAAAAACCACGAACGGTGTCAGCGACGGCCGTTGATAAGATACCGTTGCACAATGCACCGATGTTGACGAGAACGATTTAATGTGTAACGCGTTTATACTAACACAATTTTTTAAATTAATTTACGTGTAAATATTTTGCACAATTTTTGGTGTTGGCTTGTAATTTTTTTGGCTGCGTTGGAATTTTTGTTGTTGCACTGGTGATAGCAAGTAGGTGCTGCACTGAGCATATCGATGTGTTAACCTATCGATACAAATATTACAACTGATTTCGTTGGTACCACTGTTATATGAGTGTAGGTTATTCACCATGGGACCTTTGCTACATATTTGGTTAATTTCTCCTGGTTAATGAAGATAAAATTCATTATCATATTGAATTAAACTAATGCACTACTGTAGAAGAGGAATAAAAAAGTATTTATTAGCATGCGTAATTAACAAGTTCAGCAACATCGGGAATTCGACATATGTCCCAATCTCTATTAGAAATGCAGAATAAGAAAGAAGTAGTAGTAAAATTGTTAGACCATGCAAAAAAATCAAATGAAGAATATCCGTTGCGCGAAGAAAACTCCAGATATGACTGTGTAACCCTGGAAAAATAAAACCAAATGATAAGTAAAATTGGAATGTAGTCATCGATAGCTATCACTCGTGAACTAGGGCTCCACAACACTAAATAACTAAATAAGCAACGTTTTAACATATTTTATAAGAAACGTGTGCCAACAATGCCTGAATAAATATATAATAAATTTTAATTTTTAATAATTCTGAAATTTAGCTCTTTAGGTTAGAGCCAGTAATTCGAATGAATATTGCAATGTTGCGAAATTTGAATATTACAATCAAATTAATTGAACAGAAATCGTTATCGCTATCGAATGATATTGCCTGTGATAACGAAGAAAAATTAAATTACATGTGATTATTATGCAAAAGTTAAACATATCCCAGTAAATGTAACGCCTTCAAGATGATAGAGGAGCTTAACTACGATTGTCAACTGCTTATTATTGCCTATTTGGAACTGAAAGACCAACTGGCATTGTGGGAGGCAACTGCACACATTCCTTCGAGTCGATTAAATGCCACTTTAATATACAGCTGGCAACACAAATTGAGCTACGTCTTAGATGAAGAGGTATTAGATCAATTTGAGGAGAATCCAAAGCAATCAGACGGCTTTTTGTGCGCTATCAGTGGAACTGTTCAACACCTGGATCTACAATTTATAAAGACTTATCAATTGCAAAAGTGGATCGGACACAGTTTTCCCTGCATGCGAGAACTGTGCTTTACCGTGAATGATAGCTGCCAGCCCGTAGGATCCTTGGTACTGCAGCTCTTAGTGGAACTTTTCCCTAAGCTAAATGCAATCAAGCCATGGGGCACCTTTTACAGCGAAATAACTGAAAAATGGACGCAGTTGCAGCGATTGGACTTAACTGAATGTTGTCCACCTATTGAGCATATATCCATGTGTAAATTCCAGCAATTAGAACAGATAACAGTACACAGTGGCTTTCTGACTCATCAGTTTATTGACAGCCTTTTAGCCTTGCCCAATCTACGAGCCATCTGCTTCCATGCAGAAGAAAGAATTGATGAAGTTCTAAATATAATTATAGATAAACGGGCCGAGCATATAGAGCGGCTTAGCTTCAACGACAGCATTTGGTTTTGTACACAGGAGACTCTGCAAAGAGCAAAGAATGTGCGTCAGTTGAGCCTAATCGAGGATGATGGCTTTCAAAGAAGTCAATTGGAAACGTTGTTATCAAATTTACCCCTATTGAAGCAATTGGATTTAATTAATTTTCAAATTTGGCGCTCGGAGAGTGAGCTTTGGCAAGCAGTTGGCAGATGCGATTCGCTTCAAATATTAAATATTTCTGGCATGCAGCTATATAACGATTTCTTTGAGTTCAGCAGGCGTCCCATGGAGACTGTCTTGGGCAAGCGCTCCAATCCTTTGATATTGTACTGCAATGACACAGGAGACTGCAAAGAACGGGTAAATGGCAATGATTTCTCTTATATTTTCTTTAATAACAAATAGTTCATTATATTACAGGTTGCTCAGTGCTTTAGTCATTCCAATTTGCTTCTCAAATGGGAGCCATTAAATAATAATAGCTGTATTGATTATGGTTATGTAAAAGTAGAATTTGCTCCCTTGGCGACGATTCAATAACTGAAGCTCAATGAATCGGAAAAATATATATAAATATATGGATATTTGTGAGTAGGGCTAAATCTTGACTGTGGGTTCATTGATAGTTTATTGACAGCATTTTAGCTTTACCTAATCCATAAACAATTTGCTTCAATAAGCAAGAATGTCGGAATGATACGACTGGATCAGCAGGCTACGATAAGGGAAGAACCTGCGTCAGTTGATCCTAATAAGGGAGGTGACTGAAGACGAGAATCTAGTAAATCAAGTGGAAGCAATGATAGGCGGTCTCAATAAACGGGTAAATGATTGCAGTGATTTTTCTAATACTTTCTTTAATAACAAATACTTCTTTATATTACAGATTGCTCAATGCTTTAGCCATTCCAATTTGCTGCTCAAATGAGTTTGCTCAAAGAAATACATTATGAATTTTATTTGTTATATCTATTATAGATATTCTATATTTCATTTGATAATTTTCCAAAGACACCATTTTAATATAAACAGTCGTAAGATCCTCATTAAATAAGGCTTTTAAGTTCGTATTTGTCGAATCAAATTTCTTTAAATTTTTTAAACTTAATCGATTTCTTAGAGATTCTCTTAAAAAATGTTAATTTACTTTGGTTAAATAAACTGTCAAAATTTATTTATACCTACTTTATCAAAATTGAATATAAATAATAAAATAAAATTCACTTGTGAATAACCTGAAATTATGGAATATAGGTATACAAGGGATAATATGGTACATACATTCTAAATAAGGATCAACAGCTAATCTGTACGACCTATAAGAGCTAGAGACAACATGCATCTATGTACGGGACATTTTTGTTCTGTAATTAAAAATTATTTGGCGTTTCTAGTGTCTTGGTACATTCATATATACATGTATGTCCACATGTAACTGGGTTTAGTATACACAGATACAAGTTAAGCAGTGTGTTTGAAAACGCCCAACGGGCACTCTCGACTAGAGTTTCCTTGCTGCTATATTCAATAAAGTTGTCATCTACGTCGTATGTGTGTTTGAAGTTTATTTTTTATTGTCACTAAATTAATATATGTGTTCGAATTATCTCAAGACTAGGCGAATTCCTTCAGTGGTTGAGTTCGTTATGCGATGTGTAAACTTAAAAGCTAAATGTATGCGTAGGTGTATGTATTTGGGTATGTATGTGGGCATGTGTGTGTATGTGGGTAACATATCTAAGGCTACGTATTGGGCTTAAAATTCTTGAATGTAGAGAGAATTAATCGTGCTTATCTGTGACAGTAACAAAACATTTTTAGATTCGAATCTTTAATGCAGTAGCTCTGGCTGCCATACAGATTAATGCGACTGATCGTGCCGGTTAGGGCGCTTCTATAGCCAGTCATTCGCACCGTCGACTCGAAGACAGCCAGACCCGGCTTGGTCTGGAATCTAAGCGTAATATCCACGCCGTAATCGCTCGTTATGTCTTTGACAATTTTTTTGTGCGGCTCTGCAATCAGGGCCTGTAAGATGGAATTCAAGTACAGCGTTCGACATTGAGAGTGCGCCGATAATCGTTCATTGATCAAACGGACCAGATAGCGTGCAGCACGCTGAACGCGTGCGTCATTCGTTGGCAGCTCCTTGCGCTGATAGCAGGTGCACCAGTGGGCCGCAATGCCGGCCTGTTCGCAATTTCGCGCCAATGGCACCGGCATAAATAAGCTAATACCACGGAGCATTGTGCTGTCAGAATCTTGCAACTCTGCCGTGCCTTGTTGCAGGCGCTCCGGCTCCAAGTTGCGCATGTCGAGCAGCTGCAACAATGTGGCGTGCAGATCAAAGGGCGTGACCAGACGTTTGGCATTCAACTCCAGATTGGCAACGGCCAGCGGATAGCGTTGCTTGAGCCAACCGGGATACAGGGCCATAAGCAGGGGCTGCCGCTCCTCCATCATGCCCTGGTAAGTGCGTCGAAAGGAGCCCCAGCGCAGGCCATGATCGGACATCAAGAGCACCAACGTTCTATTCAGCACGCCGGACTCCTGCAACCGCTGCAAAGTCATTGCCACCTGAAGATCTAGCAGCTGCGGTGAATTTAAATGATCGTGAGAGAGCGTCACCGACCAGAAGAACGAAAAGAATAGCTCATGCTGCATCTTTGGCACAAATTTACGTATATACTCGAAGAGCACATCCGCTGTCCTCCGCCCACCCATGCACAGCTTGAAGTTGAGGTCCGGGTTGGTGGCTATATGCGCCTCCATCTCCAGCAGCATTGGATGCAAATAATAATCCGTAGGCTGTCGCCGAAAGCCACTATGATCGAAATTGAACAGCCCGAGGGAGCTCACATCCTCCGCAAAGATCGTCCTGTAGCCCGCCTGCTTATAGCGCTTCCACAGGAACGTGCAGCCATCATAGCTCGGCTGTGCCATGGGGGCCACGCAGGATATGTTCAGCTCCTGATCATCCAGACCGCTCAGCAGCGGAATCAAATTGGGAAACGTATTGTCACCCACCTTATTGTAGCCCCAGAATTCCACATGGGATAGATTATTCCTTATAAAGGCAGCAGAGCGCTTCATTTGACGAAGGAAATTTAAGTGTGAAACGCTATCGATGCCCAACACCATGATCGAGATGCGATCCTGCTTCGACCCAGTGTCATTCTTATTACTATTATTATTATTAAAGCTCACACGTTTGAATGCCTTCTTTTTGTGCATGGTTCCGTTGTCGGGCTTGTCCAGCACAAAGAAATGGCAATCGGTATAGATCTCTGACCCAGTTGCATCCTCGCAATTCATGCACATGAATTCCAGGTCCTTCGGCAGCTGCATGATCTCGGCCAGCTTGATGGGCACTGGCGACAGCTGCTGATTCTTGGTGTCAGTGAGGCGAAGAACTACCTTATAATGACAGCTGATCTCCGAGAGATTGTTGATCTTATAGTATTTTAGCTGCTCCTGGGCGTTCAAATTGAGCAGCAACTGCCCGGCAATCGTGTCGCTCGTCCTCGTCAGCGGCTTAGGGCACTTCACTTCCGATGGACTAAACAGAAACTGAGCTATAGTATCGTCCAGCACCTCGAAGTGGGGCATCCGACAGCCAGGCGTATCTAGAAAGTACGCCTGGGTCGCATTATAGTCATCATCGATGTGCGCTATGAAATCGAAGCGATCGCGCAGTCTCAGTAACTGCGTCCTCAAATTGTAGTCCACAAACAAGTAGGAGAAGATGCACACACAGAATATAATAATCACAATCTTCTTAAATTGGCCACGATTCCGGGTCATGTTGTAGTATTTATAATAATGCTGTAGATCGCGTTTTGTCATATACTTCGGATCCATTAAATATTTGCTTCTAAAAGAAAGAAAAAACTTCATTATTTTTTTTGTTACTATTATTTTTTTGTGAACTATGTTTAAAAATAAAAAAACCGAAAACATAATTTGTTTTCAAACTTATTTATAGCAACAATTACTGCCTCTTCTCGTATGCCCAGAACAGGCAAAGGTTCATTGTCTCGCTGTGTCTCAAAGAGTTTGTCTATAGCTGACAATATTTAATGCTGACATGTCATTAATTAAAGCAACAAACAATATAATGTCCAACACAGACACACGCAGACAGAGAGAGGCGAGCTGTACTCACACCTCTGAGCATCCTTTGATGAGCCAGGCACGAACAAGTCGAAGGCGTCACTTTTTATGAGCACAAGGACGTGATGTTGTCAATGTTTTCTTTGATATATGCGCACAGTAATGTGTGTATATATATATACATATATACAAACACTAGCGTCGAGCTAAATTGTGCATATGCAACTAGCAGGCAGCGCTATGCAATGCAAATTTATGGCTGCATTTGGTAGTAGCAACGATAGAAGCACAAAAATATAAATAAAACCAGATAGCTCTGTTCAGAGGTGCCTGACTAGGAGATACCCTGAAGACCACCCGTAGCATAAAAAAGAATACAAATAAACTGGATACCAGAACGCGAATCAATTTCCCCGACGCAACGCACATCGTCTGTACCTACGCACTGCACTGCTTTTTGCTAATTAGCCACATTACTTCTGTTACTTAACGGATTTCAATGATTCTTGCAGCATAAGATCCATTATCCATCGGAGTATTTGTTAGCTTTGTAATAATGCTAACTCTGTCATACATTGGTTATATTTGCAGCTGAGCGTGAGATCAAAGAATTTTTTTGAATAATATATAATTGACATAAAACTATATACCAATTTTGAAAACTTGCTATCAAGTCGAACGAATGATTATTTAATAGCTACAGTTGGATGTTTTTAATCGACAACATACAACGTCTTTCTAATCATATATATATGTACCTTATGTGGTCTGCCACGCCTCCTTCTGCCTGTTACAAGCATTTTAAACACATTTTGAACGGATTCAGGGTAGACAGAAACCAAAATCTAACGAAAACTATATATAATTTTTAAAAAATTGATTTCCATTTTTAAATTAACTCTTAGGTTGGTTAGATTCAACGATTCCATCTTAATTTTATGCAAAACAGTTCAAGGAAATTAAATAAAATGTATATTAAACAAAAGTTCTGAATTTGTACCAATCAGCCTAAAAGTAAGCAATGCTTTTTGCAACATTTAGTTCACGTAGTAATTTTGCTGGATTATAGCTTATCTAAAGCAGACTTCGTTTCTAGCGGCAAAGAAAGCATATTTCAAATAGATTTCTGTTTGCGTTACAATTTTATTCAATTGATGCTCAAATGGCATTTTCGCTTGGGTAAACACACAGGGATAAACTCAACGTGCAAATGGCTTACGAATTGCTTCTTTCACACGCACACAAGCTCTCATACACGCACACACACATACTCATACTCATACTTACTCATAGCTCATATCACCGAACTTTCGGTTATCCTTTGTGGTGTAGTAGGCACGCATTTTAGCACCTTTTGATTGAAACAAATCCTGGCGTATAAATCTAGTCTCTCACAATTTCTTCAAGTCCTTGACATTTTAGTTGTTGTTTTCACTTTACATTAATTGTTTGTGCACCACATTTTGTTGCAAGCACTTTCTCATTGCACATTGAATACAACACATTTTCTACATTGCTGCCTCCTGTTTGGTCACCAGCCCGCCCCACGCTGCGCGCCGTTCCGCTTGTAGAGCCTTTTTATTTGTGTATCAGTTTACCTGGAGCAGCTGCTGCTGCTACTGCCAGCCCACCAAACACTGGATGCTGTGCGGGACTAGGCCGCCCGCTAGACGCCGTAGCAAACGCTCTCACAGTCTCGTGCGCTCTCTCTCTCTCTTTCTCATACTTTTGCGCCTTTGCTCTCTGTTGTTCTCACGTTGGCTAAGTGTTGGAAAGTGCGCAGAACGGCCATCTTGACAGCTGCCAGGGATGCTTTAAATCTGATTGCAATGCAACTTATTTAATTTGAACTTATGGAAATTATTTTGAAAAAAATTAAATAATAAGAAAACATGTTTACTTTTAAAACAAATGTTATTTTAATCTTAATCAGAAACGAAAATATTGAAGAAATTATATATTTTGTTAAAACAATATAAATTATATATTAAATATAATGAATTAGCAAGAAATAATAAGCAAAAATGATTGAAAATTAGTATAATTAGTAATATTAAAAAAAATAAATAATAATAAATTGATTGAATAATATAATAAAAATAATTAATATAAAAAAAACTCACAAAAATATATTTTAGAAATGAATAGAAAAATGGAATAAAATTTTAAAATAAAAAATATAAAATTATGAAAATGAATATTACATATTATATTAAAGGAGTATAACAAAGTAAAAAAGGCTTAGACGTCGAACGTTCTTGTTTCAATATAAATACATATATTTTTTTACTCAATTGTTGCTTTTAATGTTTGATATTATTTGGTTGTGGTTAGGGTGAATGGGTATAAAATATTTACTGTTATAATTATTATTTACATGTAAAGTCAGTGTGATTTAATTAATAAACATAAGCGAGTGGAATTATGGAGGTCAAGAAACGCATTCAGCTCGATTTTTATGGCCAGTGAACTCGAAGTATAAACGCCTGCTGTGCAGCTGTACTGTGTGGGAGTTGTTTATATATAATGTATATTCATATAATATAATAAACTATAATAGAGTATAGTAAATCAGAGCAAGGATCGAGCAACGTTTGCTTAAAAGTCACTGCAAATATTTGAGTCGAAATGAATTGAAAAATAAATTCGTTTTTAAGTCAGGCGTGGGCCACAGCTTGGTCAAGAGTATTAGCGACAGACTTTGTGCAAGGCGCACATGCAAATCCTTTTGCCTGTGTACTTGCCAAACAGGACATCATGCAGCGCACTTTTGCTCATTAGCTGCCAGCCGAAAGATGGCAAAAGCACGCAGGATCAATTGGCTGCAACAAGTGGCTGTGCGTGTGTGTGGGCATGAGCGTGTGCGTGTGTGTGTTAATAACACCAACTGCTGCAGGCTTTCTTGTTGGCCTCAACATGGCATTTTTATGTTCAATAATTACAACAACAAGGACGTAAATCACAGATTGGAAAAAAGCATTTCACTGTTGCCCCGCCCACCCGGCCGCCGCCGCCGCTTGGCCGCTGCTCGGCCACCCACTTGAGATTAACAAGCGTTAGTAATGTTTCATTATTGTAAAACAAAAGCAAAAAAGTAACAAAAAATAAAATAATGACTGAAGGCGGGAGCAAAAAATCGTCTATAAAAGCGGGCAGCGCATCAGGCGAACGTTTCAGTTGAAATTTCAAAGTGCGCTCAAGTGCAAGCCCCGAAAAACTAAAAGGGAGAAGGAACTGCTGCTAATTAAGGCTACCTGGCTATAGCGAGAAGGACATCCATCGATATGCTGCGCCGTCAACGCCGCCTGCAGCTGGACAACAGATGCAACAGGAGCTGTAGGAGCAGCGGCAGCAGCAGCTGGCGGAGTCGCAACTATTTGCCTGGTCTGCTGATTGTGCTGCTCGTCCTACTCCAGAGCTTCGAGCTGCATATGTGCCGGCAATTGATGGGCGTAACAGCGCACAGGCGACACGATGCGGATAAGGAGGCGCCGTTGCTGCCACTCGAGAAACGAGCCATCGCACCGACCACCGTTAGCCAGCCGGAGGAGATTTTCAGTGCGCCCAACGATGCGGCTGACATGAGCTATGATGAGTATCCGGTAAGTGTTGACTGTCACCCCCACTTGCCACGCCATCCGCACCACCAGCCCCAAAATTCGAGATTTGCGTGGGCTGTTGGTCAAACCCAAAAGTGTGTCTCGTTTTACGCACACAATTTGCTTGGAAATGTATATTTTTGCATTTGATTGCTTGCCCTGCAGGTGATAATGTTACCTTGCTTTGATATCGCAACGGGACTGGCTCTTAGATACCAGCATATTTATACATATATATATACCTACATCTACGCCAGCTACCTTTGTGGTTGCTGACGTCACATCATTTTAAAAACTTTGTCAAGCTCAACAATCTGACAAAAAATAAGAACAAGAAACAAAATATGTTTTGTGGGCGTTTAGTGAATTACGTATACGCCAGGTAACTGAAACCATGTAGCTTGCCGTGTAACTTATTTGTTGCAAACTATTATAGAATAAACGTGTTAGCTATTTCTATTTCTCTTTTCTTTTCTAAAATATATTGCCACATCAAGAGCTATATATATATACTTTTTTATATATATTATTGCTATATATTTAAAATTCTTACAAAAACTTGTAAATAATTAATTAATATTTTTATCCAAGGAATCCATTTACAAGTTCTTTTTATAACGCAAAACAAATTTTTATATATTTATTTATTTTTCTTTAACTTAGTCTCCTTAGTCTCCCTTTAGGCAACTTAATCTAACCAGAAAATAATTAATGTAAACGATGAGAAATACACAAAACGTTGCTGAGGGGAGCAAGCAAGAGGTGATAAGGGGAGATTTGATTGGTGTCAAGATACGGTAGGGTAGGTTCTGATGGGTGAAGGTAGCTAGCAGATTTTTGGGCTGCTATTGTTATATACTATTTGTACTTTGGACCCATTGAAAATGAGAATTTAGGAACATTTTTGTGTTCCAGTATATTCCAGTAACAGACAGAAAACCCAAAAGTGCGCAGCAACCAATGCATTTATGTATTTGTGTGGTTTGCTATGTGTGCTATAAGAAAAAACGTAGAATGATTCCAATATTAGCTCTGTGCAGTGTGCCGAGTGTAGCTGCTGGGCGGGCGCTCACTTCGAACCACTGTCTTACATTTTTTATTTTAATTTTATTAGCAGATATATATTGCATTAAATTTTATATCTTATAATTAAATATATTTAAGCTCATGTACATTTCTTATTTATTTAAATATTTTATTTAAACGTAGAACATTTTAATCAAAATAAATTATGCTTAAGTAATTATAATTAAGAATTTGAATTTCCATAGCAAGTTAGAGAGCTAAGGAAATAAATGTTTTCTAGTTCTGTTGGCTTATCTCTAAGCTTGTCTTCTAATTTGTAGCACAGCTCTTCTGTAAACCCAAGTCTCTGCTCTATTCATTCCTTAGATGGTGGTGCCGAAGCGTGCTGCCTTATTGCTGGACCGCCTGATGGTGGCCCTGCATCATGCGCTGGAGAACGAACGTGAGGGTCATCGCATAGGCGAGTTCTATGCGAACAAGAACATGGTACAAATGAAGCCTGCGGACTACAGAAATGCTTTGCAGCAGCAGCAACAGCAGCAGCAGCTACAAGCAGCAGAGGATGGTAAGCAGAACCAGAATAGAATAAAATATATAAAATATAATATATATATATTTCAATAGTTGGCAATCAGCCATTGAGTGGCCACAGCTTTCACATGTATAGCGATGATGATCCTGGCGTGATGTTGGACTACGATTTCAAAGATCTAAATCAAATAAATCGCGCAACGGGCGAAACTGTAAGTTGGATATTGAAACCAAAATATGCAATAAAAGATATCAATTAGCATGTGGCAAATGGTGTAAGAAAATTTCAGTTAATGGCAAAGAGCTTTCAGAGAAGAGCCGGCACAACTGCGGTTGGCATCGATGCTGCGTCAGCGGCTGCAGCTGGACCTGGAGCTGGTCCTGGTCCTGGTGCTAGTCCCGGCCTCAGGCGCATCCATCACGTTTCCAATGGAGGTGGTCGCATGTATTGGCGCTGCTATTTTAATGCCGTTAGCTGTTTCTAATCCAACCTACTAACCAACCAACCAACCAACCATTAAACCTAACCAATTGAAACTCCATTCAAAAAACAACCAATTGGCTCCAGGTTCGGCTCCAGCTTATTGACATCTTCATTTCCAGTGTTTTGCGTTTCCTTGGCTGCTATGAAAGTTGTTCGCATGATTAACTGAAATCATCTGTCAAACATATAAATTGTAAACTGAAAACATTTTTTGTAATTAACATTATAAATATATATATATATTTATATACAGTCTGTCAAGAAACACTTTACACAGTGGAAAAAATCTCAATTTTTTGACTTTATGTAAAAAAATAAAGAGTTTTTGTTTAATTTAACTAATTTTTTTTAATGGTTAACTGTTTAATAGGTATTTTTAAATCAAATTATAGAAAACAGAAACAAAAACAATAATGGTGAAACTTAAAAAACAACAAAAACTTAGATTACTCATATTTTACACTGTCAAGAAACTCTTTACACACTTCTTATATATTGTTCTAAATTTAAAATGTAAAACTAATTATAACTAATTTTGAAATACTTAATATTTAGTATGGCCCCCCTTAGCATTCTGTACATGTTGGAGTCTTCTTTTCATTGAGTTGACCAAGTTTTGAATATACTCTAGGGGTATCTTCTGCCACTCTTCCAGTACGAAAGCTTTTAGCTGTCCACGGTTGGTTGGATTCCTTTTTCCAACCTTTTGCTTTAAATAAGACCACGCATGTTCGATTGGGTTGAGATCTGGGCTTTGGGGTGGTGTATCCAAGACCTTTCCGCAGTTGTAAAGCAACCAATTACGTACATTATACTCCTTATGTTTTGGATCGTTGTCTTGGTAAAATTTAAAAGTTGGCCGATTTTCACTAATAAAGCCAAATTTGGTTAAAAAATATTGCTCGGCATTCATTGTGTTTTCAATGAATACCAATTCACCGACTCCTTGGCTGGAAATGCAGGCCCAAACCATAACCGACAGCTTTCCAAATTTGACTGTTGGAATGATATTCGCTTTGTCGTAAGCTTTAGAGACCTTTCGCCATACTTTGGGCGGACCTTCGTTGTAATACAACATTATTTTGGTCTCGTCGCAAAATATAACGTCCTTTCAATACTCCTCTGGGTGCCTAAGCATAGTAAGAGCAAAACAGAAGCGCTTTTCCACATTTGTCGACGACAGCAAGGGTTTCTTACGTGCCACTTTCGAAGAATACCCATGCCGTAGAATAGCCTGACGGATCGTTTCGTGGGACACATCCACACCACACTCTTCTTTGAGCTCCTTGGCAAGAGTTCTGGTCGAGATTTGGGGATTTGATTTGATCTTTCGCATCATAAGGCGGCTTGCCCGATCAGATATCTTTTTTTTTTCGGCCACCCACACCCTTTGCCTCAAGTCTTCCCTCATTTCCGCGCGACTGAGAACGTTGTATATGGTTTTTCTTGACACAGAAAACATTTCCACTAATTCTGGAACTGATTTGCCCAACTGCCGATTGTAGAAGATCAATTGGACAACATCGAAGCTTAATCTCTTTCCGGGCATTATTAATCAAAATTTGTATTGCTTTTATATGTGTACTCAGCCAAATTTCGCACAAAGTGAAAAATAAACACAAAAATAGAGATGCATAGACAGATTCTAAAGGCATAGTTAACGGTAAAGCCCCGTTATTTCTTAGAATCAGAGCAAAACAGATGAAGAGAACAAAATGTGTAAAGAGTTTCTTGACAGTGTAAAATATGAGTAATCTAAGTTTTTGTTGTTTTTTAAGTTTCACCATTATTGTTTTTGTTTCTGTTTTCTATAATTTGATTTAAAAATACCTATTAAACAGTTAACCATTAAAAAAAATTAGTTAAATTAAACAAAAACTCTTTATTTTTTTACATAAAGTCAAAAAATTGAGATTTTTTCCACTGTGTAAAGTGTTTCTTGACAGACTGTATATGTATAAACGTGTATATCCATATTGTATTGTATCGCTGCAGCTCTGCTCTGTGTAATAAATATTAAAATACAAATCAAACTTCGACTCTTACTACATCTTTGGGTGAGCTTTCTATATGGACTGACGAATATCGAGAAAATGAAATAGGTTTATAGAATATATAACTATGTGCTCAAGGTCAATCTATACATACCCAATTCGACCTCGAGCTCTTAAAATTAGTTCGACTTAGTTAATTGAAGGAGTAGCAGCTGCTACCTTCTGTCTATTACACAGACTTTCCTAGTATGCAATTTATCTGCTGCTACATTTGTAGTGTATGATATATATATGATATATGTCATTCGAATATATATCCTATATGATATATGTCATTGCATAATCCATTAACGCCGTTGGATTTGCTGTTGCGTCGTGGGCTCCAATAGTCGGACGCTAATTCTCTTTAATATTGATTGACACTGTCATAAACGGTCGATCACACACCTGCACACACACACCATAATTCATTCACTGTATTTTGTATTTTAGTTTTTGCCTTATCATCGCTGCGTGCAAACCCATAATATCTTTTTGTTGTACTTAGTTGAGATTGTCACAAGCGGAAGTAGCACTTAGTAGCATTTATATACTAGATATTTTGCCAATGTGCATTTGCAATTTATTGTTAGACTTACAGCAGACTTTATAGCTAATTTAGCTTCTATTTTGCTAACTGGATAACCATCCACTACCAGCTCCATTTATTCTACAATAAAATTCGCATCAAGCCTTAAGTGATAAAGCACAAAACTTCTAAATGTAGCTCAAATTGCAAATATAAAACTATAAATATTTAATTTTATAATTTTAATATACATAAATATTATTAATGCTATATAAAAATATGTGAAATATTTAATATTTCTTGCTCAAGTTTTCCCTTTAAATATAATTTTCTTAATAAACTTATAGAAAATTCTTGACATTCAAAAAAGTTATGCATCTTGGCCCTCCTCCTCCCATGCCTCTGCCGACAGGAATCAATGCATATCATTAAATAATTGCAAGCTGTTTCGACTCTATGGCTTGGATCAGTTGTTGCTTGTGCAATGCACGTAGAGCTCGTTATGGCCAACTTTAATTGCCTGTTGGCCAAGTTTTATTGGCCAATATGTGCGAAATTAACGATGTTGCAATACAAATTGATGTTGCAGCTCAGTTAGTAGCTGCTTGCAACGTTGCCAAAATAATAACCAGCAAGAATGCTCCAGTGAGGAGTACTCGACTGCGATATATCCTGCAAAAAGCAATATTTGACCTATTTTTCGTTTTCAGCTTTAAGTTCTCTAGCTCTTATATTCTTCGAGCTATCTCTCATTCCATTTTAATCCAGATTGAGAAACATTCAAGATTTTACGTGTCGACAGATTGAAAGCCCGATATACCCGCTTCACTGCGCGAACGAGTCTGATAAAGTTTTGTCTGCCTTATCAGAAGTCAGCTTAGGATAAGCGTCTGCCCATAAATCAACGTGTTGCTCATATGATGTCACTGATTGATCAGCGCTGTGACGTTTTGTTCTGAATATGTTCACATATAGTTACTAAATGAACTACTGAATTACCAGTTGAATATTATCTAATGTCCTTGAACTGCTGAACTATGAGCCAGTGTTTAAAATGGAAGCTTTTAGTTCATATAAAGCAATTGAATAACTGAAATAGTTTTAATATAAACTTTTCTAACTCAAATATAACTAGTGTTCACTGCCTAACTTAACCATTTAGTAAACTGGTAAAGAAATGAACTGTCTGAAAAGTTAATTAAGTTGTTTTAAATTCTAATTAGAATGCCATTCTGGTCAAGTGCGCAATCATTAAATAGCTAGCATATGAACTTCGAAGTAAGTCAATAGAGAAAGCTGATTTGAACTAGAAATTCCCAAAAATGAAATTTATAAATAGTTCATGAACTTGTAAATAATTGAACCAGTAATTGAACTGATTCCGTTAGGAATTCTTATTCCCATTCATCCCATTCATACAAGAGTTCGGCCGCTACAATTGATTTACAGCGCCAACAAGTATGCAACAAGTTTTGCCAATCAACAGGTATCAACACACTACTCACCACACACACACACATAGATACACACAGTCATACATATGTATGGTTATCAAGCTGTGCGCGTGTGGTGAATAATCGGGCTCTTAAGCCGCACGTTGTTCATATGCAGCATTGGCAACGATACGACAACGGCAACAGCAACAGCAACAGCAATTGTTGCAGCGGGGCGGCAACAACAGGCAGTCCATACGCCTAAGCTACCCCTAACAGCTCCCCTACAATTCCTCTAAACCTACGTTGCCCAGTGCCCCCTCTATGCGAACACCTTTTCTGCTTCCTGCTGTCGTCGCTGTTGCTGCTGCTGCTGCTGCTGCTGCTACTGCTGCTGCTGCTGCTGTTGCTACTGTCGTCGCCTTTGTCAGCGCCTGCTATTTTGTATATAAAGCCGAGCGTCGTCCATGGCAAACATCGAGTTCACAATTTCACTTCTTGGCGTTCACATCGAGTCGAAACAGTTGAAACGGATCCTCTCCAACAATATCGCATTTCACTTGTGTTTGCAGTACCATAAATTTAACAATTCCGTGAGACACACACACACTTATATATATATCTCAATACATATAAAAGAGAAATCGTTTTCGCGCTCCAACAATTTGCCCGAAATCAATTTTGCCGCCGCTATTTGCTTAGCCAGCCCAATATCCTTTGCGGTAAGTTTTTTCTATTTATTGTATGAGCCTAATTTCGAGTTATTGTTTGAGTTTATCTTAATCTTGGGGCAAGAGCTTGATATCAAGCATCTTCTAATATATTTATCAAACGTGATACAATTGGTAAATGTTCGAGGCGGATTCTGGTTAGACATTCTTAGAAACTTCATTCAGTAATAATTAAACTAATGAATTTAAAGACATAAGTTCAAAGCAAAATTTGCTGAATTTATGAGCTTATTTTTTTATTTATATTTTTATTATAAAATTTTTTGAAAATAATAAAATAATTTTACTTAAAACATATTATTATTATTTATTTGTAATTTGTATTATTTTTTAAGACTTTGAATATATATCGAATTTACAATATATTTTTATTCATTTTAGCATTAAGAAAATATTTAACTCAGTATTTGAAAGTGCTTTAAGTTTTTTTATTTTAAAAATTTGTAAACAAAATAAAAAAATATTTTGTGGGAATTAAAATTTAGTTTTTAAAACAATCAATATATAGTATATTTATTATATTTAAATATATTATAAATTATATCTATCAAATATGCTGCGGAAAATCAAAATTGTTGTTCGTTGAAATAGCTGCCTTTGGTTCGAGAGATTTTGGCTGAAAGACTGATCTGAGTTATATTTTAATTCAAATCATTAAAATGCTTTGATATATAAAAGTCGTTAAGCCCTTGTAATAATATGAAAATTGGTTAAATAATTACAACAATTAAGGCTTAAGCTCTTCATGCTAGGTTTTTCATGCCTTGAGTCAACAAATTTTGAAAGTCTATTAAAATCAAATTTTATTTTACTTTACAAAATCGAAACTATAAACGGGTAATGCTGGCCATCTCAGTTGGCTGTTTAAGAGTAATCTTCGCTAGCCTTTTGCAATTTATTAATTATTTAATAATCAAATTCGGCTTATGGTTTTTCTCGGAAATGGTTTGTCAAACAGATTGACATTTAGACATTTTCTTACACGTGGAAAGCTCGCTTTTCCTAACTGCTTTTACACCGGTTGACAAATGTAGCCAATTAATCATTCGCGCTGGCAGCGCTTTGTCTTTGCCTAAATTGAAATTCATGCTCAAAATACGTCACAAAAGTGAAAAAATGCAAGTAAAGGTGAATAAATTGAATGTGACTGACTGGGAAATACGCTAGCATATAAACTGTATGGCAGAGATAAGATTGGCCATTAACATTTACTTTAGGAACGAAAAGTAAAAAAGGAAATCATATAGAAAAAATATAAAAAAATGATTTTAAAAAATATATAAATTCTTATTAGAGCTTTGCTCAAATAAAACATGCTCCAAATGAAACTTGCTCAAATCAATTTTGAGAAATATTTACTTGAAATCTTATTAACTTTACACACACTCAATATACCCCATTTGACAGCCTGACAAAGGGTGTATGCGCAAAAATAGATGTACTTTTGGGGCTACTGTAAAACACTCCCCAGCCGTCAAAATCAGGTCGAAGAAAAAGCGTTTCTTAAGGTGCCTGTTGCGTGGGCCACGATATGGAAAATTATGTGAATTATTTGTGATGTGTAAAAGAAAGAAAAAGTTCGCATCATTTGCTCTCGCTCGCTGTAAATGTAAATGGCAAATAAAACTTCATGTTTTCTTATCGTTTCTGTTGCTATTTTTTATACCAGCTAGCATAGTTTCCTAAGTTTATTCTATAGGCGTATTTGCCTTGATTTGAAAGCCGAAAACCGCAATCAAATTGCATTTAATATTTATTACAAGCTCCAATACAAATATTTCAGTGAGGCATGGGTGCGGGCCGCCTTTGGGGTAGCTAAAATTAGATGGCCAAAAGCTGATGAAAGCCCAAATTGATGGCGAAATGCTAAGAAGAGTTCAACTTGAGTTGCCCAACTGGAGCAATACCAATCAAACAACTTTCAAGTGGGGCCAATTGTTGACAGACAAACAATATAAACTTTTTATTCAAATGAAACATTAAAGGCTCTTAAAATATAAATGGTTAGTTATTATATTTTTATGAAATATGCGACTTTTAAATATTAAATATAATAGATGGATAGAAATTTGTATCTAAATTGTTTTACATATTTTTATATATAGTCTTATTTAAGAAATATATATTTTTTATACATATAAAAATATATATTTTTTATTATTTTTAGTTTTCATTCTATTATTTCTAGAAAAGCAAATTTAACTTAAAAATTGTTTTCTCGTTATTCATATCTTTATTGTTCTGTTAAAAATTAAATTATATTAATTATATAAATTATTAGAAAATAGTATTGTTACTGAAAGTTCTACAGACAATGATGTTATCTTACTAAAAAAGGAACTCTCAAGAGAAAATATTATTTAAAATATACATTTTTCTCATTATTTTGGTAACAATCTATTTTTGTACTCTGTTCAATATTATTATCAAATTTCTTGCATTCTTTTCATGTCCCTTATAATAGCAATTTCCTTTAAATACACCTTGTTAAAATCAAAAATGTATTGAAAGATATTTGACTCCAAGCCAAGCGATTCAAGTGGGAAATCCTTTGTTATATTCGCCAATACAAAAGCTTCTCCATTTCAAATTCCCATTTAATTTGACAAATATTTCTTAATTTCAAATTTAAATAGAGTCCCCTCACGCAAGCCTTTGATGTAGCAATTGTTACCGACAAACCGCAAAGACCGCAACTACCAAAGTAATTTGATAGCACTTGAGATAAGTTTCAAGTTTCAAATGGAACGTAGTCAGCTTAAGAAATTTTAGAGAATTTTAGGGCCTTAGGTCTGAAGTGGCAAGAAAAGGAAAACGTGTCACAACTGCGTCAGACACGAGGCGCGGCTCAGTCTTATAATTTTTCATTTATCATCAAACAGCGTATCGCATGACCGTCAAATAAATCATGAAGAACAACAGCTTACAAAAAGGAAAAACGGCCAACTCTAATTTAAAAAGGGACGGAAAAAACTAGGGAAAACTCAAGAAAAACTGTGCGAAAATTGCAAAATTAAGCCGCTTGCAGCAAAGCTTAGCATAAGCCATCGGGAGAGAGAGTGAGAGACGTGTGTAAAATTGCATTACTATCCTCTCGCTCTCTTCCACTCTCTCTCTCTCTCGCTCTGTGTTGTAGTCTGCTTGTCTGTGTCTACCCTATATTAAATTTCCAATTAACATTGACGCGTTATTTATCAGCCGCAATAAAAGTGTCCTGATTATGCTCGCTACCCTAGACCCCTTCCTGCCTTTCAGCCACGCCCCCTGCCTCCAGCTTGCTTCATTATTCCATTTGATCTCTCAGCTTTAGCTAGACTACCGTATGCTGTTTGCCAACGCTTCAAGCGTCTACAGTACACCTAAGTACTCCTCCGCCCCAGCTGCCCGATTGCTTGTTATTAGTTTTATTTATTGCGCGTTCGAACTCAACCAAACGGACTGTGTAGCTGGCATTTTTTGTCGCTTCTCTATCTATTAAGCATTTTATGACTTGTTGTTCCATTTACTAAATATATATATATACATATATATATATATATATATATATATATATATATATATATATGTACATATGTATACGGCATTATAATTATCTATGCCTTTGGTATTAACTGTTGCATGCGTGAGCGTTGCGCCGGTTTTCATGTCAAACATTTGTACCTGGATTTTGGGGTTTGCACTATTATGACAGGGCTGAATGGCTTTCAAAGTTAGTCTTTATGTGTTTATAGATAGGGCATGGGCCATAGCTAAAAAGTAGTAAAGGAGTTAGTGCCATTTAGCAAAAGTAAAACAAAGTCTAATTTGTTAAGTTTTCAAGTTATTAAAATTTTTAATGTCTGTATCAATATTTTTTTATTTTTGTAATATAATATTAATGAGCACACTATTAATTAAATTCATTACATTTTATAGAATTCAACCATAAATTGAGGATTTAAAAATTCTACAATATACTTTTAAAATGTTGCCCCAAAAAGTATGCTATAAAAATTCGAAATTTTCTCATTGACATAATTTCGAGAAATATATATTTACGTTATATAGACCATATTTCTGTGATTCTGATCTGAACTATATGTATATATTAATTTATATATATTATGTATCATCCGTAATAAAAATATATTCTTATCTGCAGTTGAGCTCAGTGAAAATTCTTTCCCTATAAGCTAAAATCTTGCCTCATACTCTTTCATTTCTTTTAAGAGCAATAGACAGTTTCTAGTTGGTTAGATTTTAATTTTTTTGGTTGCATAAAATCCTGGCAGCATAAACCATGTTGAATAACCATAAAAAGGAGAGAAGATAATTTAGCTGTTTAAACTTTTGCAGCTGTCACAGTTTATGGGCTGCTGCTGCAACAGTCAACTCTGCGGCACGTTGAAGTCGCTTGTGGCAGGAGACATTAACATTTACGGCTTGCCTCATTGAGTTTCGGTTTCGTATTTGGTTTTTTGATACCCACGCTGCACACTTACCTGTTGCTGAGCGCTACCTGCGGCAATTTATGACCTGCTCGCTCACATATTCATGCGACATTTTTGATGCCACGCCCATTTGCCTATGATGTCATTAGCATGGCCGTAATTAGTCAGAGATGATGGGATACGCATGAGCGTGTGTGTGACCCACTTAAATCAGGACCTGCAAATTGGTCTCCACAGAAGCGTAAACGTATTTACCTCGTACCTCGAATGTTAGATGATGTCTCGACTTGACTCCTGGTCACATAAGCTCTTCCGCTCTTCATCTTCTTCTTCGTCAATTAATTTGTGTGATTCGTTTCGAGTCTAATTAGTGACAGCAGCCACTTGTCCTGTCTGCTGGGATCCTTTGAACTATTTGCTTGCATTATGTATTTGAATCAACCTTTTCTCTGTTGCATAACAAATGTATGTTCCGGTGCACCTCCTCTGTCCCCTCTCTTTCTCCACCGGTCGCTCTCATTGAATAAAAGTTCAATTTAGAAAAAACTATACAAATAATTT